CCGGGGTCGGACACATGGCTCAGCCCCTCTGGACAACGCTGGTTTTCCATGCAGGGTGCCAGTGTGACCCCCGCGGCACAGTGCCTGAGGGCAGCCGGTGTGACCCCATCAGCGGCGAGTGCTTCTGCACACGGCTGGGGTCCGGGCGCAACTGCACCCCCAGTGAGTGCTTCTGCAAACGGCTGGTGACCGGGCGCAACTGCAACCAATGCCTGGTGAGTGGGGCTGTGCCGGAGCCCGTACATGGTGCTTGGGGGCCATGCACAGTGCTCGGGACCGCGGCACCACAGCCGGGCACTCCCTAACACGCTTGTCCTCTGCAGCCTGAGCACTGGGGGCTGAGCCACGACCTCCCAGGCTGCCGACCCTGCGACTGCGATGTTGGAGGTGCTCGTGACAACTCGTAAGTCTTTGCGGGGATGCAGGGGACGAGGGGCATCCCTGCCAGCATCAGGGCTGACGGTGCCACTGGGGTGCCAGGTGCATCGTGGAGACGGGGCAGTGCCAGTGCCGCAGCCATGTAGTGGGACGGCAGTGTGGCCAGGTGGAGCCCGGTTTCTACCGCATCAACCTGGACCATTACACCTACGAAGCTGAGGATGCTCGGCTGCATCAGGTAAGGGACAAAGGTGTCCCTGGGGCAGGACATCAGGGAGAGCAGGGCAGTGGGTGGCTCTTTGCAGGATTCCCAAGCTGGCAGAGCAGTGTCTGCTGGCCAAAGCAATTTTTTGGCTCCCATCTTACAACTTCCCCTCACACCAGGGCTCAGTGGTGGAGCGTGAGCTCCCTACGGACCACCCGGCTTCATGGACAGGGACAGGCTTTGCCCGCATGCTGGAAGGTGGCTGGGTGGAGTTTCACGTGAACAATGTGCCTTTCTCCACCGAGTATGACGTGATCATCCGCTATGAGCCCCAGGTGAGCAGGGTGGATTGCCAATTTGAGGGGGGGTGGTGGTGACTTCTGGCCGGTGAGGCTTTTTGGCACAGCTCCTTCTCTGCCTGCAGCACCCGGAGCCCTGGCAGGAGGTGAGGGTGAGGGTGGTGGTCCCCAGCCCCGTGTCTGCCAGCAGCCCTTGCGGAAACACCATCCCAGCTGATGACCAGCTCTCCACCAGCCTCCCCTCCGGTGCCAGGTGAGTGCCTCGCCAGGACCAGGCTGTGCCAGGACTCACGGGAGAAACCTGGCTGCCCATGCTCTGCTTTACCCCTGCCCAGGTACGTGGTGCTGCCCCAGCCCGTCTGCCTGGAGCGGGGCGTCTCCTACACCATCCGCCTGGAGCTGGGCTGTGCCACCACTCGGCAGGATCCCACTGCCAGCGTTCTCATCGATTCGGTGAGGGGCGGCCGGGCAGCGGGACAGGGAACACCAAGCCTTCGCAGGGGCAGGATGCAGTGATAGGGGACATGGGTAGAGATGGGCATGACATCCTGCTGCCTTGCCCCCATGCCAGCTGGTGCTCCTGCCCCAGTACTCCTCACTGGAGATGTTCATTGCGGGCGACCCTGGCTCCATGGAGCGCCGGAAGACCTTCGAGCGGTATCGCTGTGCTCAGCCCTTCCACGCCGCGGGACCCTCACCTGTGGCCGAGCCCTGCTCCAGCCTCCTGCACAGCCTCTCGGCTGGCCTACACGAAGGGGGCCTCCGTGA